CTATTATATATATATATATATATTTTACAATAATGAAAAAAATATCAATAAAAAATATTTTATTTTAATATAAGATTCAAAAAATTTATTAAAAATAATAATGAAAATAATTATTAAAAATTTATAAATTTTTATGAAATGAATTTTTCTAATAACTTATAAAAAATTAAAAAATTCAATTCAAGTTTTATTTATATATCTTATCTATATATTATATTTTATATTTATAATATTTATAATATTAGATATGTTGTATATGCAAAAAAAATTTGTTTTCTTACTTTAATGTAAAATTGAATTTTAAATGTTTCTAGAAAATTTTAAAATAATATATTAGCATTATTTTTATTAAAATATAATTATAATAATTTATATATATATATATATATGTATAATTATATTTAATTATTATAAATATTATAATTTGTTTTAATTGTATTCAAAATATAAATAAGTTAAAAATTTTATTAATTTAATTTTATATTAATTATTTTATATTTTTCTTTTTTCTCCAATTATATGATATGTGTATATATATATATATATATATATATTGTTATTTTAATAAATTTTAATAATTAAAATAATTTTGTTAATGATATAAAGTAATTAAATTGTAGGTTGAATTTTAAAAATGACAGCGGGTACAAGCTTAGTAGTACCTATAGTTTTATGGGGTCGAATAGCACCAACTCATTGCATTTCCTGTATCTATTTGTCCCGAGATCAAAAAACATTAGTAACAGGATGTTATGATGGTCAGATATGTTTGTGGCAAGTAGATCCTGAAACATTAAAGGTAAATGTATATTTATCTTTCAATTAAATTTTAAAAACATTAATTAATAATTATTGAATAATTATATTATTAATTATATATTAAGATGACTCCAAGATGTTTACTTGTTGGTCATACTGCTCCAATTATGTGCCTGAGCCGAGCAAGTGTTATTATGGAACAAAATTTTATTGTCAGTAGCAGTGAAAGTGGAGAAATGTGCACTTGGGATTTAGTTGATGGAAAATGTAGGGAAGCTGTAAAACTCAGCAGTGTTCATACACAGATGTTGCCTTATGTCTCCGCTGGTGGAGAAGATGTTAGATTGTTTTGTTCAGGGTATGTTATAATTTCATTAATATATTTTGAAACAATATATAAATTTATTTAAAAAATTTGAAGAATATTCATTTTGTTATGTTTTAGATACTATCCTGAGGTTTTAGTAATGGACCCTTTTAGTTTGGAGGTTTTATTTACCCTAAGTTCACGTGTTCATCCTGATTGGATCAGTGCTTTGCACGTTCTACGACCGGCCAAACGGAAAGGTCGGTTCTACGTGCATACAAGTTAGTTACACTCCATCACACCTATGCTTTATACCATATAAACTGCTACCTTATCTGTTTTTAATTTCTTAACCAATCTATATTGTGCAAAAATTTATTTTACTTTGTTATAAAGAAATATTATTTCATCATAATATAATTGAATTATTTTATTTAAATTTTAAATAGAATATTAATTTGCACAATATGTTTGGTATTTCCTGGCTAATTAATTTTTTATATTCTATCTTTCTGCTCAACAGGTTTTTCATACTATTAATTAAAATATATATTTTTGTGCACTATTATTTATTCAATTGAAATATGTAATAAATTTTGTAATATCTTTTTTGATAAAGTAATTAACAAGGATAAAATTTTATATATAGATATTTTTTATATTTTTAAGATTTTAAATTTTCTGCTAACTTTTCAAGCAATTAATCAAAAGAAGCTTTATGCTTTGGGTATATTAGAAACTTTGCATCTAACTATATATTTTTTTGTCAATAATGTTCCATAATCATTTAAATTGATGGTAAAACTTCAATGTTATATTGTATTATCTAAATAATAATTTAAATACTATTGAAATTTTAATGAATATTATATTGTTGCAGCATGTTAATGAATCATATATGGAGACATATCAGTACTATTACACTGGCAATTAAGGCTGTCTCATTTTTTTCATATCTTTTTTTTCATTATAAATAATCATAAAATTAAATGAGCAGGCATTAATATTTGAATAAACCTTTCTTTTATGCTACTTTCCTTCATTCGCATTTCCTTTCACAAAATCATTATGGCATACATTGCATTTATCTACATTAATCACTTTCATATCATTTATGATACACTATTATCTATCGTAAGTATACATTACAGCTAATAGATAATTTTTAATGTTTGAATGCAATGAATGCAATTATATAAAAATTCTGTTTAGTGTGGCTTTTTTATTATAATAATATTATTTGATGCATTTCTTAATTTAATTAATGTGTAAAAAAAAGTTTTTTCTTATCTTATGTATTTTATATAACAATATATAAAAAATTATTTATATCATATTTTATTCCATAACATATATTTATAATAAATATTTTTTTTCTTTACAGAATAAAATTATAATTAGTTAAAGTACAATTATTTATAATTAGTTAAAATTATAAATATGAATGAATAATAATGTAAATAATATTTAAAAAAAATAATTGCATATATTATAATTGATCAAGAGTTTTTTTTTAATATTTGCATTAAATATATTTTTTTATAAATATATAGATATAAATCTTAAGTACATTCTTAAAGATTTAATATTAAAAATTCATTAATTAGTATAAAAAATATATATAAAATCATGAATTTGAATTTTTTTGGATTTTAAAAAAAATTTTGAATTTTTTTTCTTAAGTAATTGTGCTATATTTAGAAATTAGTAATTATTAGACTTACAAAATACTTATGCATGATTCAAATAAGCATGAATTGAAATCTATAGATATGACTTTATTTTATTGTAAAATAATTTTAAAATTTTATTTTGCATGAAATTATAACATTATATTATTTATTGAATGATCATTAATTATTTTAAATATTTTTTTTTTTTTTGCTTTCAGTATATTTATTTTTTAATATTAGAATTAAATTTTATAATTTTATAAAAAATTAATAATTTTTAATGCATTTATGATATTTATAAGGTGTTATATGTTAATCTTACTGGAAATTATTTTTTGCTTAAAATATTGACATCTTCTTAGATATAGTTAACGCGCAACAAGCGCTTCTATTCATTTAAAGACGATGTTGTGCTGGCCTTAACGACGACTGGTATGGTCAAGGTGTGGACTCTTCTTGGGCATGAGAATCGTAATAGTGAACCTCTTATGAACATGAAAGCAAACAAATACGATGTTTAAATGCACTTGCTATGACTTGTTGCCCATATAATCAAAGAACTGTATTAATTGTGTGCTCTAAACATTGGCAGGTATATGTTAATTATTATTATAATTTCTCAGATTAATTGATTTTTTTACTGATACAGTATCTACATTAGATATATGATGCTGGTGACTTCTCTCTTCTTTGTTCAATTACTGCACCTTGTGGTGAACGCTGGATGTCTGGAGATTTTTTAGCTGCAGATAGAGTTATTTTATGGAGTGATGAAGGTCATGGCTATCTCTATAAATTACCAGCTAAGTACGTTTTTAAATAAAATGATTATTTTTTTTATTATTTAATTTTTTATATTTTGAACTTGTCATGAAATATTAAAATTTCTAAAGAAATTATTGATAATGACAAATTTAAAATATATATAAAACAAAGATTTGATAGCATATATTTTCAAATATATGCTATCAATTATAGATTATATATTTAATAGATTATTAATTGTTGCTTATAGGGTTCTGGTACATCTTGAAAGGTAGTGTTTTTAAATTAATGTTGCCAATTATCTGAATAAAAAAAGAATTTATTTAAAAAATGCTTAATTTTATAGCTTTATCAAGTACTAATATATATTTATATGTTCTAACAAATTTTAAAATAATAAGATAATTACAATTTAAGCAGTATGAAAGCTAAGTAGAAATATTTTAAAAAACAATCTTTTATATTATTTTTAATATAAAATATATTTAAAAAAAAATAATATGTTGTTACAATAGTTGAAGAAAAAATATTTCATGAAATAATTAAAATGTAGTTAGTTATTTTAATGCCAATTTACTATTCTTTTTTTTAGTATACTTCATTTATAGTTAGACATGTAAATGAAATTTTCTTAATCAAACATACTTTTTTCAAATTCATTTAATTTAAAATTTTTTAAAACTAAATATTATTTTATAGAAGCACTTGCTGGCAATGCACATTTAATATTTGTTTCGTGTATATTGTTTTACTTCATTTGTCATGAATGTTCATATTCAATCATATTAAATAGGAAATGCTAATCATTTATTTTTTATTTTATATCAATATTAATAATACATCAATTTTATAATACAACAATTAAATAAAATGATTTATATGTTATATCAAAAAATATAATAATCTTTGAAATATATTTCTTATACATGTTTTTCATTAATCTTTTTGTCTTTAGTAAATATATAGTTAAATATGAATATAGATTAAAAAAATTTTTTTATGAAATGAATATAGAATTCTTATTAACTTTTATATAAAAATAAATTGTTTTAAGATTCGTTCATAATATAAAATCAGAATATTCAGAATAAATCATTCTGATTTATTTTAACAATTCCAAAAAAAAGAACACCAAATAATTAAAATAATCTTATTGTAATTAAATATATTTCTAATTTCCATTTGTTACAAATAATTCACAATGACTTTTTTTACGGTGATGTGTCTTTTTCATATAATACACATCTACTGCATTCTACGATGGATCTGGTGTTCTCTAGCAAGTTGAAGGGCAAGGCTCTTAGCAGGTAATCCTGCATTATGTGTTACACACTTTCTTCTTAAATTTTCTATTGTAATTTTCATTTTGCTATATTCTTTTACAGATATTTTGCTTATTATTCTTTTACAGATTTCTTTTTATTTCTTTACTTTCTCCTGTTTTCTTTTTTATTAAAAATGATGAATGAAGTATAATTTATAGATATCTTGTATAAATATGAAATATTATTTAAAAGATTTATAAGAAAATAATATCTTCTATAGAAATGTTAATAATAATAATATTCATTTTCTATTTTATATATTTTATTAATCTATTTTATAATTTTTCTTAATTATTGATTTAAATTAAAAGTAATTAATCAAAATTTTTAAAATGAAATTATATGAATTGTTCTATGTCTCTTATGATCTTATTTAAATAAGAATTTTTTTCTTTATATAATATTATAAAGAATTATAAAATATTATAAAGATCATATACTTAAATTAAATTAAACATATATATTATAATTAAAATATTTATATATATATATTTATTATGTTATATTATTATGTTATACTATTTAATTATAATTAATTCATGTCTTATTTTTTTGATAATATTTATATATTATACATATATTATATATATTATATATATACATATATAATATAAACCTATATTAAATCGAAATGTTATTAACTATATAATTATAGTCATAGTTAATAATTATAGTCTTATATTACATCTCTCTGCATTTCATATCTTATGTTTTCATCTCTTATTTGTTTTAAGTTGCTTTACATGTATCTTATTTTATATTAATCAAATGAGATAAATAATAATTTTAATAAAAAATAGTGCTGTGCCAGCTTATGTAGTTTTAGTAAGCTATACTAATTACCAATCATATTTAGTTGCATTTATTGTTCAAATATATTTATATTTATATTATTGAAACATATGTTTTTTTATATCATCTTAACAAATTATTATATAAGTAATATAATTGTACACTATTTTATATGTTATAAAATCTATTAAAGCTTATTGGTATGTATCGTAAATTGAGTAATATAAATTAAATAAAAAATTATTAAAATTAATAAATATTAAAAGTATAACTTTACTATTTATTGACTGTAAAGTATTCTTAATTTATTTATTTTTAATTTAATATATACTATACATTTCGTTAAAATATATTAAAATGTATTATGAATTAATATTTAAAATAGAAATTATTATTATGAAAAATAGTTTTGAATAATTAAATAATATATTATTCTTATTTTTTTTTATATTATATAGTAGCGTTGCAGACAATAAAAATTTCCATTCTGCGGGTGTTGAATATGATCAACCTTATCTCTATTGTACTTTGATGCAACCTGGAGATAAAGTAAGCTTAAAATTAATTAGTTAGTTTAACAATATTAATTTTTTGAAATTATACAATTCTTTATTATTAATTATTATATTTTCTTTTATTTTTAGCCTCTATCATGCCTCCAGCAATGCGATTAGTTACAGTTCAAAAACAAAGTAAAATATTAAAATATTTATTACGTGGTGATAGTGAAGGAATTGTTCTTTGGACAGTTCCAGAAATAACAACTCAACAATTAACTCAAATTTGTCAGAATGATCGTTCTACTCCACTTTCATTACCACCAGCAGTAAAAACAAGTATTACTAGAGCTTGGGAAGAAATGAAACCATCGCCAGTTGGAATATTAGATCAATTAGATAGTGGAGATGTACATGGTATAAAATTAACAGCTAGTATATATTTACCTCAACAAAGTCGTTTAGTTGTCGGTCGTGAAGATGGCAGTATTATTATTGTTCCTGCAACACAAACAGTCATGCTTCATTTACTTCATGGCAATCATCAACAATATGATGGTACAATAAATTTATTAATTTAAAAATATTTCTCTAAGAATTTTGCTTCAGCGATATTTTTTTTTATTCAATGGAGCAATTTGACATTGTATAAATTGTAATATTTATATAAATTTATTATTTAATCAACTTCTTTCTCTTTATTTTATTATGTTTATAGATTTATTATGTTTATAGATTGGCCTCCCCATCAAGTACTTTTGGGTCACTCTGGCCGAGTGAATTGCCTTTTATATCCACATGGAGCAGCTCCACGTTATGATCGGACACATCTTGTTTCTGGATCTGTTGATTTTGCCGTATGTTTATGGGACCTTTATGCTGGTACACTTATTCATAGATTTTGTGTTCATGCAGGTGAAATTACACAATTAATGGTACCACCTGATAATTGTAGTGTACGTTCACTTTCTTTTATATATTATTATATGTATTAAATATATATATTGTTAATAAATAATACTTTACAATTATTTTACAAACTATTATAATTTTGTAGTTTATTAATACATAATGATGATTTAATCATTTTTTAGCCTAGAATACAGAAGTGCGTTTGCAGTGTTGCATCGGATCATAGTGTTACTTTATTATCATTAGCAGAAAGAAAATGTGTTGTTCTTGCTTCTCGGCACTTATTTCCAGTTGTTACAATAAAATGGAGACCATTGGATGATTTTATGATAGTCGGATGTTCAGATGGTGCTGTGTATGTATGGCAAATGGAAACTGGTCATTTAGATCGCGTATTACACGGTACATATAAATTTTTTATTTTACTTCTCTAATGCTTTTCTAATAATCTTTGTTCTAAAAGATTTTATATGTATATATAAATCTTTATAAATGTATTATATATATGTAATATGTATTATAAGTGTATATTTTGTTTAAAATTAAATATAATATATTATAAATACAATATTTTTTATTATAGTTTATTATAATTTTATTATAGTTTTATTATAATATTTTAAAATTATTTTTATAAAATTTTAATTGAAATTTTTAGGTATTATTGCAGAAGAAGTGCTTTATGCTTGTGATGAAAATACAATGGCTGCATCTGGGGGATCAGCTACAGGTGGTGAATTGGGATTAGCTAATCCTGCTGTACATTTTTTTAGGTAAATCTTATAAAATAAATGATAGAAATTTTAGATAAAAGAATTCTTAAAAGTATTTTTTTTTAAACTTCTTAAATTTTGTTTTTTCAGAGGTTTGAGACATAGAAATCTTTCTGCTATACGACATGCAACTCAAAGAGGATTACATCAGTTGCAGCAACTTCATGGTGGACAAGGAGTTGACCATGGAAACCAATAAAGGCAAAAGGCACACCTTTAATGATTCAAGGATTTAGAAGTAATCCTAAAGATCCAGAAAGTCATATTTTATTTTTTGATATAGAGGCATTAATAGGTAACATTTTCTTTATTCTTCTTTTTAATATATATATATAAAGAGGTTTAAAAAATAGATTGATATTTTCTTTTTTATACATAGTACAATTACTTAGTGATGAATATGGAGCAATGTCACCAGGTTCTTTAGAAGCACAAGGTCTCATTTCTGCTTCTGAGTATCAAAAAGTCGCAGCACTTACACAATCTGCCAGTCCGGATGCTCATAAAAAAATTGCAGGTAAAAATTTTTTCAGTTCTTATTATTCTTCATATAGATTCTAATTTTAAATGCTAATTATAGTATTAATAAAAGAAAAAAATTACACTAACATGCCACTTTATAGACTTTTTCGGTCGCGTCAAGGATAAGGCAGGCGACGTTGAACGAATTTTAAAGGAGAAGGATCGTCACGGTATTGTGTTATTACAGTTTCATTTCGTAAATGATAGTTTGTGTGCAATTTTTTTAGAGCAAAAATTTAATAAGGATCTCACATAAAATCATTAGTTTTATTTTATATGAATTATGTTTGTATAAATAATTATACAATAGAGTGTTCATGCATACTAAAATTATTTATTGCATGCCTTGCCATATAAACAAATTTATTTATATTATTAAGATTTAACATAAATATATTTTTAGTATTAAAACAAATCAGTTTAGATACAATTTTAATAAATTATTTTGTTTGAATTTACAATATCAAAACTCTTGATCAATTAACATCTTTCATATATTAGTTCATTAAAATAGTTCAACTTGTGTAAACTTATGTAAACTTAAAGAAAATATTTTATCATAATTAGCGCTTTGTATTTTTAATTTGGTTATAATTTAGTAGTATATTTTTTTTTTGTTACTTGAATATTTTGATTTATAAATATGTACTTTTGGAATGTTTATTTTATGTAATATCTATATCTCATAGTGCATTTAATTCTCAGTTATTGTCATTAAAAGATTCAAGTTGAAGAAAATATTTATCTATTATTATATCATTTAAAGCCAATTTCTTTCTATAGGTATATTGGCTAAAATGAAGGAGGGCGCAGAGAACGTACATACTAAGATTCAGGCCAAGGTGGAAAGCGTTGGCCTCAAGCCGTCGACTCTTGACGGCAAAGGTTAGCCATGATTTAAGAAAGATGGCAAAATTATTGTCATCTTTCTATCATT